TAAAAATATAAAAAACTCCAAAACAGCAAAACAACAAAAGCGGCAACAACTATAAAAAAAATGAAAATTTCAAATACCATCAATGAAAGGTGGATTTTTCGAAAGTGGCAGCCATAAAAATTATATGGTAATTCATAAATCTGCAAAAGTCAATGCACCCAAAAAAAAAACAAAAATGAAAAATGAAAAAAAAACACACAAACCGTAAAAGGACAATTTCGAAATCAGAAATGCGCCTTATAAAAATTTGCTGTTTTTGTTGTTGTTGTTGTTTTTAGCTTTTATTTTAGCTCTTTTGGAAATTAGCATAGAAAAGTGAAAGTGTGATTCAGGTCGGTGTTTTGTGGTTTGCCGTCTGCTGTCTGCCGTCTGCAGCTGCAATGAATTTAATATGTAGCAACAACGCCAACAACAACTTCCACCTGGGAACATGTGCAACATTTTTGGCCTCGCCCGTTTGAGCCATAGCAAATAAATAAAATAAAGCAGTCAAAGGGCTCCAATTGTTGTTCATTTTTAGCATGGCCAATCGAAAGTGTTCAGTTGAAATTAGTCTCGCTCTTAATTTGACAGCAACAGTTTTCTTGGCTAATTGGCACAATTTGAGCTACACGTACAAATGCAGATACAGTTATGATTACAGGTACTGACGTAGCTACAAATACAGCTACAGTTCGAGCTACAGACTCTGATAAGAATTAAGATAAAGCTCAAGCTGCAAAATGGAAAAAATAAAGATACAGCCACAGCAAGAGCAACAGCAACAGTAACAGATACTTCCCAGATACTAACACAGATACAAACTGCGATACAGATTCAGGGTCAGCTACCAGATGCATACAGCTGAAGTTCTGTATAGATAAGGATACAAAAACATGTGTAAATACAGACCCTAATTTAGATACGAAAGAGGAACATTTATCAAAATGCATTTGTTTAACAACAGAATGAAAAATCACGCATATCAGAAAATATATATTTATATATATATACAAGTAGAACCTTTCAAAATAAAGGCAAACAACTAAAGACTCGTTTTTGAAAATAATATGAATAAAAGCCATATAAAATGAATGTTCAAACACAACTAAAAAAATGTATTTAGTTCCCTTTACACATGCTCTGATGCAAGTATCTTCGCTCTATTTGTGCATGTCAATACGAATTTATCTCAGCTGCAACATAGTTTGTCGACATGCACTCGAAAAAAAAACCGCTCTAATTTATAACCATATTTGTAGCCATATTTTGTCGCCAAGATTAACTCACCTCATTATCCAGAAAGCATATAAAAGATTGTGTCTTTCTATAATTCTCTTCTAATTTGACTAAATCTTATTATTTTTGAGTGAAAAATTGTATTATTATTTGCCAAATTTGAGATGTGTTTACAAATATTGTCCATCATTAAGAAATATATTTCTGATAAACAGAAAAAATCGTCCTAATTTTTCGGCATTTATTTTTGTATGTTTAGAAATTATTTCTAAAGACTAAACAATTTGTATAGTTTTTAGGTCGATTTTCATTTTAGTAGCATTTTCTAAATTTCAAGGCGATTTTGTATTTTTTGAAATATTTTCTAATATTAACATATATATATTTAGATAAGAAGCCTTTCAAGTTTTTAAAATAACTGTTTGTAAATTCGTAACTATTTCTAAAATCTAGACCCATTTGCTTGTTTTCAGAGCGATTCTCTAAATTTGATTTTTGAGCTTATATTGGTTAACGGTTATCGGTTAACGGTTAACGGTTAACGGTTAACGGTTATCCCTTTATCAAATACCAACTCAATTTGCATGCTCATGCCAAGCTACAACCTTAACAAGTCGAAGATTTCGTAACAATTAAACAAAAACTAGCCACCTGAGTGGCTATAGAAATATGTGGGCAAGTGGGTCTATTGTCTACCCCATTTAGTGGGGTCCACGGAGACGCGCGTGACTCGATTGACATTTGAATGAGAGTGCAAAATGTGCAAGAAACGATCGTCAGCCAACAACAACAACAACAACAGGAATAGCAATAACAGTTTCCAGCCTTCCAATTTCCAAAGCTACCGCAGCAATGCATTGGCCAAAAAAAAAAAAAATGGAATTCATTATCATGAAATATGCTGTGAACACTTCAGACTGGAAGGCAAAACGAAAAAATATTATTACAAAAAACCAATTACCTTAAAGTTAAAGCTGAGAGAATATTTCCAGGTGGCCAATTTTAATGTTTCGACTAATTGATTAATAAGTAAATTCGGCGACAACGAAACATAAATAAAGAGCGCAAATAATGCATATATGTTAGCTGAGTAATCAATAGAGACACAAACATAAATAAAGCTTAACTAAAAGATTTAATAAAAGATTGTTCCTGTTTTGGTACATTTGTACCAAGTGTGGCAATCGTGTACCTAAACAGTATAACAGTTGCCTCACAGTCAATTTGAATTAATTTCGCACCACACTAAACAGGTAACTGTGATACCCAGTGGAAGGGTATGCAAGATACTCAATTATTGTCGCTTCTAAGCAATCCTTCTTTTTGACGTTCTCCCAATCCCCATCCCACCTCCCCCACACCCAATCCATCCAGCGGAGCAGCGCAATTAATCACTTTCGAGTTGCTGTTGTTGTTCTCTTCACACATTAAGCGCCGACGCCACACAAGATGCTTGGAAAGGGTTCGTCTCCTTCTCTCTCGCTCACTCTCTATCTCTTACTCTCCCGTTGTGGCGCACTTGAAAATTTGTTGTCCGAGGCTGCTGCTAATGAAGCGTGCAGTTAATTGCTGTTATTGTTATTGCCTGTTTTTGTTGTTGTTTTTGTTTTGGTTGCTGTAAACAAATCGTTTTGGGATATGAATCGAATCATGTGTGTGTGTGTGTGTGTGTGAGGGAATGAGAGATGTTTACATATACCGGCATTAATTTTCCTTAACCTTTTCTATTTGATCCGATACAGCGAGAGAGAGAGAGAGAACGAGTGAGAGAAGGTAGGGGGAGGGTCAAAAAACTCATTAGTGTTTCAACAAAATTGTTGCCTGCATAAAATCCCCGAGAAATCTGAAATAAAATGAATTATAATTGTTTTGATTTTCCCGCTTGAATATATCAAATTATAATTGTTAAATACAATTCTGAGTGTTGGTTTCATCAATTAAATGTAATACGTTGATTAAAGCACAATTATTTTTGTGTATTACTTCATTTATTATTTATATATTTATTTAAACAATTGTGTGCAAAATACATTTGTTTATATATGAAGCATGCTTTTTTAGCCTTTTTTCAAAGCGTAAATCCCGCTAAACAGTCAGCAGTAGTTTCGCTGTCAAACCAGGTTTGAAACCAGCTGCTAGAAATGTGCGTATAAGAGAGCATTCACATTATTCGTGATGTCACAGCTTGTGTATAAGTAAGTATAAGTTTAAAATGTATTGAGAATGTTTTGTTTTTCTTTTATACTTTGATACCGAAGCTATTCAGAGTATATTTGGTTCAATGCAATTTCCGTCTGTCCGTCCGTTTGTCTGTATGAACGCAACTCTTATCGACTCTCTTAGAGCTACAGAGATTCGGAGTGCTACGTCAACTAGACAGCTAGGGAATCGATAAAATCGATCATCGCAGATAAATCCAAGTTTGGAAGGAAAATTACTAGGAACCTTCTATAATAATTTTTTCAACCACGCCACTACCGCCAGTAAAATTCCCGAAAGTCCATATCTCCCGTAACAGGAAGGTTAAATGGAAACTCTTCCAACGCTTTTTTCGGCCCCGCCCACTACGACCACCAAAGTTCACAAAAGCCTACATCAACCGCAATCTTGGACGTTAGATTACTAAAAATCTCGTCCAAAGATCGGTATTTCTTGGCTATACCCACCCTGTTCTGTGGCACCTGTTATCTGATAGTATTACTTATGGTATCATAGTAATTCGCAGTCGGTTACGCCTAACTGTAACGTTCTCTCTGGTTTTAAATGTAATCAATGAAATATATTAGAATTGATAACACAAATATTAGCAGTATAGTAAATTAAACGTATAATTAATTAATAATAATTAGCAGATTAATTAAGTACTTTCAATAAAAAATAGATTATGTATTAAATTTGTACATTTTAAAACTATTATTTCAAAAATTGTGTCGGTCCAAAACAGAGAGTGACAGAGAGAGAGCCAAGACGATTGCACTACAAGTAACGTTACCTGCAACTCTTGCCTCCTTGGTTTTTACACACGATAATAAGTGCTCTCTCCCGGTTTTCGGTTGCTCTCGCTCTCGCTCTCCCTCTCTCTCGTTTTGGTTTTTGGCGCTCGACTGGTTGCGGCTCGACTTGTTGGGGGGCCAACCATTCAGTGTCGTGTATGCATTCGAGCCGATTTGTTGTGCCGAGAGCAGCCAATTGTACAAAGCGCGCGCGTGTTAAACGTCTAACGAAACTTCAGTCGTGTTGTTTGCTTTGCTTTGCTGCTATCCAATGAAGAAGTGCAAAGCAACATTGAATAAATTTTTAGTGCGAAGCGCGTGTGTGTGAGTGAGTGAGTTAGTGTGTGTGTGTGCGTGTGTGTGTGTGTTGTTTGGTGTGTTTTTTTGTATACATATTATTTTGCTTGGCTTGCCAAAAATTATAGTTTCATATCAAAATCACAAGGGGCAAAGCAAAACGTGCATAACACTTAGCGAAGAAGAAGAAGAAGGAGGAGGAGTGTAGAAGAAGAAGAAGAGAAACGAGTGAATTGAAACGACAAACAGCCAGCTATTTTTGGAGCAATGCGCTAAGAAAAACAACAACAACAACAACAACAAAAGCAACAAAGTTGAAGCCGGCTCAACAACAACAACAACAACTGCGTCGTTGTTCGGCGCATTTGCATAAATATGTGAGGCTGACCGGCTACACCAGCCCGCCCCCCTCGCAACCTATTGTCAAGTGTTGAAAAATATCAATTTACAAAAATTAATAAAAAAAAAATACAAAATTTGTACACATTGTGCAAAATTATACAAATTTACCTGTGTGTGTGCGTGTGTGTGTGTGTGAACGCAATGGCGCTAAACGCTGAGCATCAACTGAGCTGAGCTGAGAGAGCGACAGATTCCAAGATTTGTGAAACGTGAAAAGTAGCTGAGAAAATCAACAACAACAACAACAGCAACAACCACAACAACTCTGCCCAAAAATGTCAACTTCAACGATAACAGCAACAACAACAGCAGCAGCGCCGTCAACTTCGGCTGCGACGCCCCCACCAAGCGGTGTAAGCAGCGGCGGTCGCAGCAGCAGCAGCAGCGCCGACTGTCGTAAATTCTCACCAAATATATTCAACAAGAGCAAATGCAGCCATTGTTTTCGCCAGCGAGAGGAGCACAGCGCAGCCGCCTTGGAGTGCAATAGGGTGAGTTGACTGATCTGCCCTGAGGTGTGTGTCGGGTGTGGTGGGGTGTGGGGAGAAGAAGAAAGAAGAGTTCGACTAGTGTCGCCCAAGTTTAATATATAAATTTCGGTTCAATTCTGCCTACAAAAGTAGATAGTCTCCGTCCGAGTGCGTGTCTCTCTCCCTGCGGCTGCTGCTCCCCGCTCGCCCCACTCTCCCCACTCTTGTGTAAATTTATTGTTAGATGCAGTTTGTATATCTTATGGGCTGGGTTGGTTTGTTGTTTTTATAGACTTGTAGCATGGACCCATATAATGCTTTTCTTATGTTGCACAAATTGGGATGCTGCCTGGAATTTGGTCCAATTTATGTACTTTTTGGGGAATAAATACACATGTATGTTGTATAAGTATATATATATATATATATGTGGGAAAGATTTTTAAAAATGGAAATCCAATGTTTTCTTTTGTGTGTAGAAATTGTCTTGTTGCTTATGTGAAATATGTAGCTCAACATCTATAAAAAACAGATTAACTTGATTGTAAAAAATCGAGAATAAACACAAGTTTTTGCTTCATTTTTAAACAATTTTTGTATTAGTGTGAACAGTCAAAACAAAATTAATATTTCGATTACTAAATTTTTGAGTAGGAATAATTTGTTTCGATCAATAATAAAACTAACATCGTTTGACAATTAATTCAGTGCAATTTTGGCTAAAAGTAGAAGAAGAGTGTTAGAAAAATGTATCACATGATTTAAAACATTTCAAACAAACACACGATAACTAAGCTAAGATAAAGAGCGTCTTATCTAGATACTCGTAAGCTGTTTAGATTACTTTAAAATGCTTCGTTCCCATTTTATGATGATTAAGTTGATGATGATGATGGCATTTGCATAGTTCTTCTTCTTCGTAACTTTCACAAAAGAGTCTCAAATTTTCCGGAGCCCACGTGTAAATCATTTTTCACATTAGTGGTTCAGATAGATTTTTATACTATCAAATACGACGCTTTGATGTTTATTAAATACAAATTCCAGCATTCATAAAAAAAATAATAATAATAATAGCCGGTTTAGGTTCGCTTGGGCTTGTCGTAAATTTTTGTAAGGCAGACGCGACAAACGATTTTCACTTTTTTTCTTCTCTTTTTTCTAACTAGCCCTAAACAAAATTTTATAGTATTGTGGATTTGATGTGTGTTGTATGCATTGATTGCTTTTTGTTATTTTAATTAGTTTTCAGTGGCATATTCCGACTAGCCGTTAATTCTAAACGCAGATTCCAAGAAACGATCAACCAGAAAAAACTGAAGAAAGGGAGAGTTTTTCTTTTGTTGTGCCGCTGGTGTGTAACTGTATGTGTGTGTATCTATATATGATTGAATATCTGATGATCTGCGTTGTCTTCGTTGGCGTTTTTACAATATATATGTATATGTCAGATCTTAAAACTACAACTATCACTATTTCAGTGCGATATATAAATGGAATAGTTTTTTAAATCATTTTCTTGGGAAACCATCAGATCCCAAGAGAGCGAGTTTGTCAAAGATTACAATTGTAAAGTAAGATAACAGCTCTAGAAAAAAATATATATTTAAATATATAAAAATTGTCCCAAATCGATTTGTATATAGAATACTTTTTTTTGTATCTTTTTCACAAGCGTATTTAGAGTAATATTTATTACTATAATTTTGCCACTCCCTTGTAAATGAGTTAAAGTATTCTGTCAAGCGCAATCATGTGCAGAAATTCAATTATTTTACTGGGTCTCAAATCCATAATTTTCGGGCAATGTTACTGTGTTCTAGAGGCAATGTTACTGTGTTCTAGAGTCTCGTCATCTTCAAGACACTAGATCTATATATATATATATCCCTATGATTGAAGCAACGAAAGTCGGTTACTTGAGCTGGCGCAGAGTACATAAAAGTAAATCGAACAGTTGTGCTTTTGAAATAAAAAAACAAACAAACAAAAGTCTATCGATATACTATTTCCCAACTGTTTTTCAGCCCCTTATTGATACAGTTGTTCCCCTAAAGCAGCTGTTGACTTTAATGTGTTTCTATTAAGTTGAAACTGTATATGCATATATATTTAGGTATGTACATATATATAAACATATATTTAAATACACGCTGTAGAGAGAGATAACTACGACTACTATTTGCAAATAAATAAAAATATAAAAATTAAATACCTGGTAATTTTATTGAGAAATCCATATCGTATCGGATTCCGCACAGGTCGCAAGTGCTGCTATAGGTTTTTCACGGCTGTCAAAATATTAATAATAATAATCTATTGGCCTCGGGGTCTATGACTTCCTCAATGTAGAGTTTTGGCCCACAAACGCTGTGTTGTTGGCTGTGCTAATTTCTTGGGGGTCATCCGTTGATTCTGCCCCAAACGGAATCACAACACTCTTCTACCACTTCTGCATCATCATCTGGCTGTGTGAAGTGTTCTACTCATGGACACGTTTTAAGCATTTGGTTAACAGCTTTTTTATTGTTGTTATTGTTATTTGTTGTTGTTGTTGGTGTTGTTGTCTGCGGCAAAATTGATTTCTACACTTAGCCCACAAAAAGCAGATTTCGTCTCGCCGAATTCGCTGCTGGCTCGAGGCTATTAAAAACTGTAATTCACATCAATTAAAATGATGCCAATTGCCGCAAAAAGAAAACAAGAAAAAAGACAACCAACAAATAAACAGCTTTTCAGCTTTTTGACACACCAAATTAATTGCGGCCCCAGAAAAACAAAAGGCGACAACAACAAATTTTCAAAACGGCTGCTTGTAAACTGTCATTGAAATTTAAAACATCTCTCCACTTATTCAGAACAATTTTTTGTTTTTGCCCGAGAGCTATGAATTGAGAAAAGTGAATAGAGACAAACAAATAATTCGGGTCAGTTGCTAAAAATATATTTGGTTTAAAAAGAAATTAGAGAATATTAATAAATGACCTGGCGCTGAGGCAAATAAGTGAATCGCAACAACGAGCACGCGCGACTATGAGATACCCTGTAGGCATGCTTCAAACACTTAATTGTATACTTATTTAAAGATAAATATAAAATTCTTAATTAATTTTTTAAGTTTCCATAGAAGCCAAAGGTTTACTATAATCATTTAATTTAATTTATGATTAAGCGGCAAATCTCAATCATTATCAGCTGCTAACTCTTTTAACCTTAATTCAACCATTGAACATACTATATACATATATTTATATATTAAACCGATTAAATTCCGTCTAATTCATTACTATGTTCATTCCCATTTCGATTCTCAATCGTCCGAAGCAAACTCTAACTCCTTTTTCTTTATGTCATCTACTGAATTATATACTCTCTTGTGCATTTCCCGGGCACTGGGCATACATAAAAATAGATGTCGCTTGCCTTCCGCTCTGATCACTGGCCTGCAATTAGAAGGCGTTCGCAGCTGCAGCTAGAGCTGGGGCCTTGTGCGGTTAATCACCTAGACGACGACCAAAGACGAAGACGAAGAAGACGACAGACCCCAGGCACTTGGTAGCACATTGCCAACACACCGGTCGGCTCCCCCTAGGCGTTTCTTCTAAATTTAGAAGCACTTTACATTTGGTTTTTTTTCCTTCATCTCTTTTTTGTTTTGGTTTGTTTCGCTTTGTCTTTGGTGTTGTGTTTGCTGTGCATAATGTGAGCATAATTGTTGCATTGCATCTGCATCTAAATCTGAAGGCTTCACGGCAACTCTCGAATTACCCATGTGGACGACCACCAGCAGCTGACCATGCTGGCGGCTTTGAGAGACACTTAAAAGACTGCACCTCAAGTGCGAAATTCAAAAGAGGATATCCATTCAACTCGTTGAAGTGTGAAATTTTAGCGAACCTTTCAAACTAACCGCCGCCGCATTAGTTAGGCAATTATTCTGCCTCTTCTGCATTATTGAATTCCACTGCCACAGTTGTAACATTTCATAATGATGCCGATCATCATTGTTGGCTTCGATTGCGGAATGATGAGTTTCCTTCGGGTTGACGGCAGGTCAAAGGCTGTCCACGTTGACAGTGGAGTTGCCAAAGTTGCCGCAACGAAAACTTGTCGTCGTGACTGGGCAGTGGTAGTAACAACCATCAGGTCAAAATCTAACCCATTATTTGTCGGGCTGGCCATTTGATACAGTGGGGCACATAGTTGCCTACTTGGCTGAAATAGTAAATGATAGTATAATAGTAAGCTGTACAACTATGCTATATAACATTCTACTACTATATTATAATATAATACATATGAACGAATATCAATGACATTTAAAAGATCTCCATTTATTGAGCAAAAATATTCTACATATTTTTTATTGGTAAATTAAAATATATATTTGTTCTTGATTCTTATTTGTTAGGCTAATGCGTAAATCTAAATAGTAGAAAATTAATTGTTAATAAAACTATGAAGTTAAATTAAGTGTTTCCTTTATATTTCTTATCTTTCTTGATGTGCTGAAAAGCGGGTTTTCAACATTCCTAAATTTGCTTCGTTGAAATTTATATAATTTTATAATAACTTTTGTATTAAATTAAGTATGCTATATTATAATATGTATGTAAGTTTTACTTTGATTTGGTTCCACTGTACTCCTTGCCAATGCCCATAGTATTTGTATTTGTGTTTGCGTTTGCTATTTGCCAGTTGGGCGTCCAACTTTGTTGCCTATCCCCAAAAAAAGATCTCAATTGATCCCCGGGGTGTTATTGAGCTATTGGCAGCACGCCAGCCTCAGCTGGCAGTTTCAATGTTGTGCTTGAGTCCGTTCTATTCTCAATCCTCGCATCTCGCACGTCGTCCCCCACTCCTCGTTCCTCGCTCCTCGGTGCACGTTCCTCTACTGCCCTTTGTGATCGTGGGCTGTTCTATTCTGTTTTTTGTGCTGTTGTTTGTCAGCCAGATAAACACATAATAAATATTACCTTTACACACCTTCCAGGCGACATGGCAGTCATCCTAGCTGAACA